CAGGCCTCCTTGGGCCCGGGGCGGACCATCATCGGGCCGCGCGTCGGCGGCGGGGGGGTGGAGCGGGCGCACAAAGTTCCGGAAAAGTTGTGCTCGTCGTTCCCGCGCTCCGCGACGGGCAGGGCTTCACTGAGCAAAGCGTGGCTCGTCTTTCCGGGACCGACCCCGAGGTTAGAAACTCCGGGACCTGGACGTCTCCCGGGCCGGCTCCAGCCGCCCTCCCCCACCTTCCTGCCGCGGTGGAGCAGACCTGCCCCGCCCCGCCCCGTCCCGGACCCAGCCGGACTTTCTGGACCGCCGAGGAAGGGAGGACCCCTAGCCTCCAGCCCGAGGGCAATGCGGGGCCCGCAGCCGGTCCGGATGCTCTGCTAGACTTACCCGGAGTTCAAGGGCCTAGCAAAGTTTTTGCTAATGGTGTTGGAAACTTTGTGTGTGTGCTAATGGTGTTGGAAACGTGTGTGTGTGTGTGTGTGTGTGTGTGTGTGTGTGTGTGTGTGTGTGTGCGTGCGCGCGCGGCGCGCCATGTAGCAACTTGCACCTTTAAAAACATTTTAAATTTGTTGGCCAAGTAGCGATGATGGCGACTTTAAAGGTTAAGACTGCAGTCATACTTTTAAATGAGGCAGTGGCCATGTTTAAAGTTCGCTGTGAGCTTTATGAACTTTTGCTAAATTGACTTTGTAGGAATCCAGTGCAGTGAAGGAAGGCTCTGAAGATGAACAGATCTGCCTTTTAGGTGGAAAACAAGGCATTGAGAAAGATCAGTGACTTTTGACACACCCTTACAACTCGGGTTTTGTTTCCTGTGAGATCTGGTTAGTCTTTTCATGTCTGTTTATAGCTTTGTTAGTTTCCCCACAAATTAAACAAGCCCTCTTTTTTGGAGTCGCCAGTATATTAAAGTATTTGAGGGTAAGTTGTGATTGCTCAGGACATTAAAAGGCTAAAGACTCTGAATAATGGAGTCTAGAAAATGGGGAACTTATTTTGCCCAGTTATAATCCCTCCTGAGGCTGCTGCCCTCTGATCAACGTTTTAAATCAGTTGACAAATCTTTTTTCCATAAATTTATCAGTTTAAATTCTCACTTGATTGAATGAACTTCAGGATCCTAACATCAGCATCAACTTTATACCTGGTTACAAGTACAGAATGTGTGGGCAGCGTCCCCAGAGTGCCTCATTTACAGTGCTTATGAGGAAGAGGCCGAGGGAATTGCATTCTCAGCAAGCATTCCTATGTTCCGAAGTGTTGCTTGGTTTAAAAACAGCTCCAGCCTTCCTTCTGTATCCCTTAAGGACCTCTTGGTTCGGCCATGTAATGGACAATGTTCGTGATCCCCCAAACTCAGATGTTCAAATCCTAATCCCACATGATGGTTTAGGGAGGTAATTGAGTCATGAGGATGACATCCTCTGGAAAGGAACCAGTCCCCTGGTAAGAGCAGCCTCACAGAGCTCTCTGATCTACCTGCAATGTAAAGGATCCACAGCTAAGAGTCTGTAACTAGAACAGGGTGCTGCCCACAAAATCTGCCCTTGCGTGGCACCCTGATTTTGGATCTCTGGACTCAATCAATG